CTGCGCTGCTTCCCCCTTTCCCTTAGCGTTTTCTGGGCATTCGCTTTTAAGGTGTCCCGACCGATTGTACGCGAAGCAGCGCCCTTTAAACGATTCGGCAACGGCATTCGCGGCGACGGCAACGATCGTGGTGCCTTCGTTCGTCCCACGAGATCGATGTCCCCAGTTGCTGCAGCTACCATAGGACCCCGGTCTCGGTCGGAGGAAGAAATCAAGTTTCTCCGCCATAGCGAGAATCTCCTGAAAGTCGGTGACGCCGCGGAGCTGGATTTCCTAGGCTATCTCGTGCTTCAGGCCGAACGGTAGGACCACCCCATTGACTCGGGGCAAAGCAAGGCAGATGCTGCGGCTTCAGCGGCATCGGCGACGGCAGTGCTGACTCGCCGGTCGGCACCGAAATCGTGACGCGGGGTTGGCTTCTGGCCGCATTCGTCGCTTCGGGGTGTGTCGCGCCGTGGTCGTCGTCTCCGTCGTTGCGGGTAACGCCATCACTAGCCTCGCCTACACTTCCGTGTTGTGATGCCTGTCGTGCAGGTTGTCCCGGTGTATCTGGTGCTTGCGGTTGTGCTTGTTGTGCTCGTGCGACGTCATTTTGTAGGGATGTTCGTTCTGTCGTCAGCGCCGCAATTTCTTCAGAGCTTTCGCGGAGTTGCTGCAGCAGTTCGTTCAAACGTTCCTGCGTGAGTTTCGTGACGTCGATGTGTTCGGCCATGGCGAAGGGCGTCGGCTCAGCTTAGTCTAGGCGCGGTCATGGCTGCACGCGTTTACGAGAGAACGCGAGGACATCGGTTCCTAGGGTCTAAAGGGCGTGAGTCCCTTCGAGTGAAAAATCAAAAGTTGATTTCCTGGGGTGCGGAGATGCGCGGTCCGAAAGGAAGGTGGCTCTGATACCAAGTGTTACATATGCAATGGAACGAGATAGCAAGGATTGCAATAGGTGTCACACGAGTACAAAGATTTGAGCGAAGGCGTGAGCGAACATTTATACGCGAGACATGCAAACGGTAACATGGTGCAAGCGAGCTAGCTAGTGCTAGGCTGGCATTGAGGTTCGGGCTAGTCCCGAAGCGTAGGCCGACTCGGCCGGGCCAGCAGTGCGTGGTTTGGTGCGAAGTTGGCGAAGCCCCGTTAGCAGTAACGGGCGAACAACGTTTGCTGCTGTACGCGATGTCGACGGTCGCGGTAAGGAATGGCGAGAAAATTCCTTGCACATTCCCAATGGGGTTTATTTTCTTGTCTCGGGCAAAAACGTACAAAGCCTTGTTGTGCGACATGCCGAGAACTGGCCAATGATAAGCCGATTCTTCTTGGCCCTGTTCGATAGGCTAGCCTTAACGCCCGCGGAATCCTCACTGTTTCGATTTCGGTTTTTTTTTTTTTTCCACGGTCAGCCCGTAAATTGGTGACTAAAGACTTTGACGCTCTGGAACCTGAATGCAGAGGGTTAGCCTGTCGAACACATCCCAGACAAGAAGCGTTAGCCCTTTGAGAAAGATCCCGGGTCCTTCTTGCACGGGCAATGGTTTAGCCCCCGCCTAGCCTAACCCTCGCCCCCCCAAAGTGGGGTTTGCCAAAGGCTCGTCAAGGGCTAACAGTGGGAGGGATACCCAAACCGTGCACCTAGAAAAAAAGATCGCTGAACCCAAGTCCTCTAAAAAAATATGCCGAATGAAAACCAGCTTGATCCAACGGCTTCGATTTGTGGTTCGGACCTTTTTTTTTCGATGTTGTTACCCAACCTCCTCTAGCGAGCATTGCATTTTTTTTCATTCCAGCCTGTGATGACCCTAGTGAAAGGGGCGAGCAGTATCGTCCTCAGGCCCCCGCTCCTTCCGACCTCTAGGGGCGGGGCTTCCGATTGGTTTGAGCATTCGATCAGCTAGAGGAAACTGCGCTGAACCCTCCTCTTAACCTTAGCCTAGCCTTCGCCTTTTGCAAAGCGTTAGACTATCGAACAGGGCTTTTATGTATCACTAAGTCTCTTGTCTCAGTCGAATCAGCGGAAACAGTCCCCAGGTGGAGATGAAGATCCCTAGAAAGCGCAGGATTCACAGTAACACTCCCTCGGTATCTGTGCCCTGTTCGACTGGCGCATCAAGCACAGGCTCGGGCATCGGCTACAGTAAAGCGGGCTCCCTCGAAGCCTCCGACATAAGTGGACAACAGCCTATCAAGACTCGAGATACACGCATGAGCACCGAAGCGAACTGGTGCTTAGTGCCTGTCGATTCCGCACTTTTGGACCCCGTTCTGGGCACCAAATGCGTGTTTCCGGAACCATCCTCTCCTGGCAAACCGACGCACCACTGATGCGCGCATGGTGCGTTTTGAAGAGCTATCACCATGCGCGCACCAGCTGATGCGGGGCAGCTTTAAGGTCAGGATATCTACTGAGCAACATCGAAAATGTTTCCTACCTTCCCTGCAATCGTGGGGGCAGCCTCACACGTGTGGGGCGAAACAACAGAGAAACACGACAAACACCTTCCGTGAGTTTCGGGCCAACATTATAGGCATGCAAAATAGTCTGGTAACCCTGTTTGATTGTATGCAAAACCGTCGATACCCCAGTTCTGCTGCAAAAATTTGTCTCGTACCGCCACTAAAAACAGTGTAGCAGATGACGCAGCACATAAAAGGAAACAATATATGCAGCAATCGATTCCGCTTTCGATTTAAGTCTATTGTAGTTCTTTCCGCGCCTCGTTTAGCGCCTAGCAACAATTTTTGCAGGCAACTTTGTTCCGTAAAATGTGTCGATAAATTTAACGGAAAAATCCGTCGGAATGAAAGTATACGGAGTCTTTTTTTTACCAATATATTGCACCTAATATATTGCTACTGGAAACTGTTAGGGCAGGAAAGAAAAAGGATAAACCCCTAGAGACCTGGACGTAATTCCGGGAGGGATCAACCCTAAACACGGGAAAGGGCATTGTTTTTAGGGTTGATGCCTCCCCGAGTCGCATCCCTTTCCGATTGGTTTTTTTTTTTTTTCTGTCAGGTGTAGTGAACAGTGTTGCTCCTCAAACACAAGCATTCGCCCGAATAAATCAAAGTGTGGCGCAATGACAAGCGTGGTCGAAATCAGTAGTTTTATTTCAAAACGCGCTACAAGGGCAATATGTCAATAACTTTAAAACTGAGGTATCGAAGGTTTTGCATAAAATTGCATAGGGTTACCATACTATTTTGCATGTCTATGATGTTGGCCCGTAAGTTTGCAACAATTTGACAAACCCCACACCATTTCGCTCCCGTCCGAGAACCACACCCGAACCTGAGCTGGTTTCCGAGCCTAAAAGCTGATGCGCCAGTCGAACAGTCCCCTGAAAACCCATAGGTCTTCTGCCTGGTCCGCGATACCTGGGAAACTGTGTGCAGGTAGAGGTGAAGGTCCCTGGAAAGCGCAGGTTCGGAAGTACCAGCTTCCCCTTTCTGTGCCGCGCTGGTTACCACCACCACGCGACAGGAATTCGCAGTCACAGCGCAACTCACGGGGCACCTGCATCAAGGCGCCAGGTGCCCAGCAGGTTTTGGATGCGGCTCGGAGGCAGACAACCAAACATTTCGCCGTCACGAACGGAGCACACTAGTTGAGCGCAGCTGAATATGTTGAACTATGTACCATCGTGTGGCTTCCACACAGTGGCAAGAAACCAGCTGCGTTGGATAGAAATATCCAATTACATTCTGCAACTGCTTCCGCGATTAGTGCAGCGCAAACCACCAGGAGCTCCTGAAAATGGGAATGCCGCAGCGAACGCGAGGGTAGGGAATCGCATGGCGCAGTACGACCCTCTTGCCCTCCATTCCTTATAAGAGCATCAAATGCTTCAGCGTATTCGCTAGCGCAGACTCAGACTTGCTTTAGACACTCATTCACCATCCACTCCCTTCATGGTTCTCGACTCGAGGTCTCAAGTTCGACTTGCAACACCACGTTTCACGCGGCTCCATCCAGCCATGGCTATGCCGTCACTCTCTCGCTCGCCGTCGCTCGACGTTAAGCGCCTCGCCGTTGTCATTGCTGGTGAGCCCACCGCGTCGCCTCGTTGCCCTGCCGTATCGCCCTGACATGATGTCGCACGACGCCCTGTCCCCTCGTCGCCTGCCATGTCGCCTCGTTGTTGAGCATCATCTCGGAAAACTATCAAGTCCGAATAGCTACAAAAGAAGTGACATAGTATACGTCGCGGAATCCAAGAAGCTTTCCCGTCATGGTCAAGCAACTTGGGCAATGGCACGTGCAAAGTATTGAATATGTGACATTCATCTGCACATAAGGCACCCCTCTGAGTCACGTGTATGTGACATCGCCCGTGTTGCATGTCGCCTCGTCCCATGTCGCCCTCGGTCGCCCTGTCGTGTCGCTCCGTCTCCGTCTGCGTCTCCGCTTCCGTCAGAGGCCCTGAAATGTCGCCTCGCGCACGAGTCGTTCCGGGAGTGTCTCGCGCCGGGAGTCCATCATCGATAGCCCCTCGCGCGGGCCTTTCCCCACATCGCCTCCGCGTCGCATCGTTTGCCCTGCCGTATCGCCCTGACATGTCACACGACGCCCTCCATGTCCCCTCGTTGTTCTACTATCTTGTCCCCTCGTCGTTTCTGCCATGTCGGCTCGTCGTTCAGCCATGTCGTCTCGTCGCATGTCCTCGTCGACTGTCTTGTCGCCTCGTCGCGTTCGTGTCGCTCTATCTCCTTGCTTTGTCGCCTCGTCGCGTTCGTGTCGCTCCGTCTCCTTGCGTTGTCGCCTCGTCGCCTTTCATGTCGCTCCGTCTCCTTGTTTGTCGCCTCGCTTAAGGCTTTCCGCGGAGGTCGCGCGCCGGCGGGATTGATAGCTCTACACGTCGCCTCCGCACTTCCCCCGCCTCCCACCCCGAACAAATTCTCGCCTCTTCCAAGCCGCAACTTTCCTGACCTACCTGTTCCCCCCACTTCGCGACACAAATCCCCCATGCTTCGCTGCATTGTTTTCCCATGCTTCGCTGCACTGTTTCCCCATGCTTCGCTACACTGTTCCTTTACACCCCCTCTCCTTGGCAGCACTGCTCTCGCTCTCCCTCTGCTGCGCAGCGGGCGGCGCCGTGCGGCGAGAGCTGCTGGATGCGAGCGACGGCCTCCTGACCCAAACGGTCAGCACCACCACGGGCAGCAGCGGCAGCACGGACCCTAACGAAAATCTCGTTATTGGAGATGTAAGCACCGTCTCCGAGAGCAGCAGCAGCAGCAGCGGCAGCAGCAGCAGCGCTGGCAGCACCTCGAGCTCCATCAGTGGGGGGAGCACCGGGAGCGCTGGCGGCACTGGGGGCAGCACCTCTGGGAGCAGCACTGGGAGTACTACCGGCGGATTACTGGAGAACTGCATATTTTGTCTAGTCATTGATAAACCCATGCGATGTGAGTCATGCACATCCACATCCACATGCACATGCACATGCACATGCACATACACATCCACACGCACATCCACATCCACACGCACATCCACATACACACGCACATCCACATGCATCAATCCCGACCACCTCGTGTCTCCTTCTGCAGAACATTCGCTGTCTGCTTCCAATGTTCCTTCTGCCTTTTAAAATCGCTCAACTGTGTAGTCTTCTGCCCGGCGTGTATGTCCTCGTCTGCCCGCTGCAGTCCGAGCTGCCTCAGTGCTCACATCAAATACCAACATGACCGCCAAGTTCAACGTTGATGTTAACATGTGAGTGCAAGTCAGCATATCCCCTCCTTATCACAGCATGGTCAAAGCCTCTGCGCAGATGTTTCTCATCCAATAAACAACTCTCGCCTCCAATGAGTAGTTCTCTCTCTCTCTCTCTCTCTCTCTCTCTCTCTCTCTCTCTCTCTCTCTCTCTCTCTCTCTCTCTCTCTCTCTCACACACACACACACACACACACACCCACTGCATCACGCTCCGCCCATTCACAGCACATCGGCACAGCAAAGGGCGTTCTACGGCTTCACCGTGATGGGCGTGCCGATCAGCCCAGCGCCTGTCTTCTCCAAGTCCTCCTACCGCACCAACGCAGGGGAGGTCCTGGCAGAGTTTGGGTGCACGCCCAAGCCCACCAGCACGCTGGGCACCTACCGTTGCACGTCCACTACTGTCGCCAACCTCTCGGTGCCGTTCAGGCCGGTGAGCAGGGTGTTTGCACTGGTGAATGCGGGGTTCTTCTTCAGCCCCGACGCCTTCTACTCCACCATCAAAGTGAACGGCGTGAGGCTGCGTGGTAACATCACCGCCTCTTTTGTTTATCCTGATGAATTGTGATAGGTGTATGGTTATAAAATTTAATACATGTTCTGTTATATTAGAAAAAATCTATTTACATTTCCATTGTGAGATCTCTCGTTAAACCTGTCAGAGAAACCTGACGGTACGATGCCGTGTGGTGCAATGCAATGCACTTGAATAGGACCAAATTAGTTCACCTCATGCTACGAACACTTTCTACAAATGGAGCCTTGTACATGAATTCAAGCTTCGTGCGAAAGGTTGCCAGACTTTTACTCGGGCTGATGGAGCCAGCGTTGCCAGGGCCGCCAGAGTGGGCTCACAGATGGATGGTAGTGTGTCAGTAACGAGATTGATGCATTGACAATGTTGGTTGGGGTACATAAACCTAACCCTAACAACTGTACCCCATATGACAAGCCTCACTAATTGCACCACATCTGACACACCCCCATAGCCTAAGTGAGGGGTGTCTAGCAAAACCAACACAGTACGGTCACAAGACTAGTCACAAGAAACCAAGCTCAGGGTGGATCACAACGTTACTGTTGGAAACAAATAATTAAACGCTTCTGATGTGTCAAAACACCGAACTACAAACAAGGCGAATCATAGCGAAGCAACGGCGAGTCAACCGAGGAGGTTGACAGAAAGTAACAGCTCGAGGTTACGAGAAGGTCAAAGATCAGCGACCTTTGACTCAACGAAAGGCAGCGCGACAGCAAGGACAAACAACTGACTCGGTATTGAGCAGTTGCCCGAGTCGTCGCTGTATCGAACCGCAACAGCAATAGTATAGCAGTTAGTTGCATCTTTTCATATTCCTTGTAATCTTATAAAAGATTGTATTATCTTGCTATAATTCAATCCATCTTGCCCTCACACACCAGCGCAAGTGGTTCAACAAGTTCACTAAAGCTTCCGCAATTACAATATTCCTACTCAGGGCCTAAGCCTTGAAAAGATCCTAAGGGCTTTTCTCAGCCCAACATGGTATGAGAGCTAACAAGGCAAGGTTCAACTTCGTTCAAACTCCTACAACAACACACGGCATGGCAACACAGAAGGAGAGAAGCTCCTCTAACGGATCTCCCGGCAATACACCCACTCCACCTCCAGCCTCTGGCCTACAGACAGAGGGAGGTACAACGACAAGACCAACTGCTGAGTCTACCGCAACTCCTGCGAACCAAACAACTGGCTTCGACCCAAGCATGATGGAGAAATTCTTCTCCTTCATGTCGTTCTACGAACAGCACTAGCAAGCAGCACCTGCGCAATCAAACAACAGCGACAACAACAACGGAGTCACACCCATGAGTCTTGATGGCTCATCCTATGCACACGGAAATCAACAGCAGCCTACCTTTGCGCTTTACGAACCCCAGCGCGGCTCCTTCGACGGGAGCCGTCGAACCCCATCTGAAGACGATTTGGCATGAAACTGATGGAGCCGAGGGACCCTGCCATATCCTGCCATGGGAATCGCCTTGGACAAGAACCAAAACTAGCGGATGCACTTCAGATGCAGTCACAGTTCGCACATGTGCTAAAGCTGCAGACAACAACGCCATTCGACGGAAAAGACTGTCAGAAATAACTGAGCAGGAATGAATGAACTAGAACAGAGTTTGGTACAAGTAGGAAACCCTAACTTTGTGTACCCCCTAAGGAGTAACCCACTACAGCCTAGACAATATAAACATGCAATGTTTGACACACCCCCATAGGCGCAGTGGGAGACAACCACAGGGTCACAAGACCAGTCAAAGCAAAGCAAAGCAAGCTCAGGGTGGATCTCAAGGATTCCACACAAATTCCGAGCACAAGCAAGCGGTCACAAGACCAGTTCACATGCAGGTTTATAACAAAGCAAGAGATACAGTGATCACAACCTAGCAAAAGTAAACAAGTAGGCATATATATATAGTGATCACAGTACAGGCAAGGTCAAGAGGTAAGTAAGTGAGGCCCAGTGGGTACAAGGCCTAACAGAGTGCAAAAGCGCTGATGGTCACAAGGCTGAAGCGCCTTGGTGAACACATCAGCAGTGTTGGCCTCCGTGGCCACGTAACGCAGACAAAGCTGACCACGCTGCTGCAGCTCTCGAGCAAGGAAGTACCGCAGAGCGATGTGCTTCGTTCTGTGCTCCAGTCTGTGCTCCTCACACAAGGCAATGGCAGCCTTGTTGTCGACGTACAGCACTGGAGGAGAACGAGGCCGCTCTCCGAGGTCGGTCAGCAGGTAGGTCAGCCAGCGTAGCTCCTGAGCAGCCATGGCTGTGGCGTAGATCTCAGCCTCACAACTGGAGCTGAGAACAGAAGAAGAGCGAGTAGAACGCCAAGAAACTGAGCCAGAGCCAAGGCTGAAGGTGTAACCCTGGGACGACCGCTGAGTAGCCTGGTCGTCTGCCCAAGAAGCGTCTGAGTGCCCTGTGAGAACAACCCGGTCTCGCCCTCCAAGCACAAGCCCCATGCCCGACGTACTGCACAAGTAGCGCAACACCCTCTTAGCAGCATCCATGTGCTCCTTCCGGTGACGGCCAGGAGCGACATAGCGTGCTAGGATGCTAAGAGGGTATGCAAGGTCAGGTCGAGTGCAGGTCATCAGGTACATGAGGCAACCCACAAGCTCTGGATACGGGCCACTCGGCTCTACGGACTCATCCGAAGGCAGAGCTGAGAGCGAGTGACCGGTAGGCAGAGGAGTGGACTGAGGCGAGGAGTACGTGAAGCGGAAGCGCTGGAGAACCTGCTGCACCATGTGTGACTGAGTCAGGGTGATGGTGTGCCGTGCTCTGTCCCGGGTGATCCGCAAGCCAAGATAGCTCGTCAGCTCACCCAGGTCTGTGCACGTGTGTCTCCTCTGCAGCTCCGACTTCACGTGAGCGAGTGCCGCGGTGTCAGCAGTGGCAAAGACCAAGTCGTCGACGTACACGAGGATGTAGAACGGCGGCAGCGAGGTGTCGGTGCGTAGAAACAGCGACGGGTCAGCAGTAGAGGGAGCGAACCCAAGAGCCGCAAGTGTCGTCCTCAGTGTGTCGTGCCACTCACGTGGCGCCTGGCGGAGACCGTAGACCGGCCGCTGAAGCCTCCACTGGGTGCCAGGAGGAACTGACCCAGTGAAGCCAGGGGGGCGGCGCAGCCAGATCTCCTCGTGCAGGCTGCCCTGCAAGAAAGCAGTGCTGAAGTCAAGAGAGTGAAGCTCGTAGTCGCGGTGAGCGGCTATGTGCAGCAGCACCCGAAGAGTAGTCATCTTCGGGGTGGGGGAGAAGGTCTGAAAGAAGTCTACTCCCTCTCGCTGACTGAAGCCTCGAGCCACGTAGCGCGCCTTGAAGACAGGTGGAGAACCCGGCGGCCGCTTCACCCTGAAAATCCACATGCCACTGACGATGTTCGCCCCAGGAGGGGGAACCTCGTCTACGTAGGTGCCTGTGGACTTCCAGGAGGCCATCTCTGCGTCCATGGCTGTCTGCCACTGAGAGGAGTAGGGACCCGCCATCGCCTCAGCGTAAGAGCGTGGGGTCGGGATGTCTGGTGCATCCGGGTCTCCCTCAGGGGCAACTAGTAAGGACACGAGACGGGGCAAAGCAGCAGCAAGGCAGTGGAACTCCTCCTGTCTGTCCTCAAGGACGTCCGTGCCGAGGGCACACTCACCCCCGACGGACGGAGGACAGGCAGACGCAGACTCAGACCTAGCGACAAGGCTGGCAGCGTAGTCTAGGCGACAGCGAGCAGCAAAGTCAACCAACTCAGTGACCAGAGCAGACGCAGCAGAGGACTCAAAGGTCGGGTCAGTGACAACTGTAGCGAGGAGACGCGTAACAGTGGGACTGGCAGCACGACGGGAGTCAGACTCCGGGTCAGGAAGAGTAGGAAGAGAGGACGCAGGAGGAGACGGCAGCGGGACACGCTGCGGAGCAGTGGAGGGACGCAGAGTCATGTAGTGAGTGCCAGGGACAGGAGGAGGACGCTCACGTGGGACACGACGAACAGGCGACGCAGGACGAGCAGTACGAACAGGCGACGCAGGACGAGACTCAGGCTCACGACGCTCTGTAAGACCTCCTGTGGGACCAGCGTAAGGAGAGGGAGCAGGGAGAGGCGAGGCAGGCGGTAACTGTGACTGCAGCTGGACAGGCAGAGGACACTCGACGGAGGGAGGAGGACTAGGAGGAGGAGCCTGCCCAAGAACCTGCTGAAGGAGCGGTACGAAGTACGGTCGCGGCCGCGCAGCGTCTCCAGAAGCAGCAGGGACACCAGTGGCAGCCCCAACGCCTGAGTCCTCAGCACCAGCAGCAGCTCCAACGCCCGGGTCCTCAGCACCAGTAGGAGCTCCAACGCCCGAGTCCTCAGCACCAGCAGCAGCGCCACCGGTCGGGTCCTCAGCACCAGCAGCAGCTCCAACGCCCGGGTCCTCAGCACCAGCAGCAGGGCCACCGGTCAGGTCCTCAGCACCAGCAGCAGCGCCACCGGTCGGGTCCTCAGCACCAGCAGCAGCTCCAACGCCCGGGTCCTCAGCACCAGCAGCAGCTCCAGCCCCCGGGTCCTCAGCACCAGCAGCAGCTCCAGCGTCCGGGTCCTCAGCACCAGCAACAGCACCACCGCTCGGGTCCGCAGCACCAGGAGCACCACTACGAAGACTGCAGCGCCGCGTGTACCACTCGCGGATCACCTGAATGGGGGGGAGCTCCTGGGTAGGAGGGGAAGTACCGGGACGAGCTCCAGAAGCACCTCTCCGGAGGCGGCAGTACTCGAGGTACCTCTCCTGCAGCTGCTGGGAGGAGAGGGCTCCTCCAGGTGGAGCACGCTCAGGCTCAGCACCCCCAGACTCAGCACCCCCAGACTCAGCACCCCCAGTCTCAGCACGTCCAGGCTCAGCACCCCCAGGCTCAGTACCTCCAGGCTCCGCACCTCCAGGCTCCGCACCTCCAGGCTCCGCACCTCCAGGCTCAGCACCCCCAGGCTCCGCACCTCCAGGCTCAGCACCCCCAGGCTCCGCACCCTCAGACGCAGCACTCCCAGGCTCAGCACCCC